TCCCATGTCTTGGAAGCATGAATGACATGCCCAGTTTTTGCCAATACGGAACCAAGTTACAGTAACATACATACAATATAAGAAATATTGGAACTCACTGACTGGATGCCCGCATTGAAAGGAATTCGTTTTGGTACCATGTTCGAAGACAGCAGCAGAACTATTCTCAATGGTCAGAAGCTAACTTTCTATTGTTACAGAGCTTCGAAAAAACGGCTACAGAAAATAGAGAACGACAGAGGCCTCAGCTGCAGATAATATGGAACAGGAACAGAGTTGATCTTACTTAGAAACTAGAAACAATGGAGTTTCGTACAGTATCAGTATGGAAATATCAACTGCTACATAATTCAACATTGCTTGATTGGATACTAACGTTTCGCAAGTTAGTGTATCGCATGTCCTAAGAGTTTTGGCACAAAATTAATTGGCTTTGATTTTAAAAACCACAAAATAGTACCAAGCTTACTTTACTATCGGTTGACACTCATTTTTTTTGAAGTTTTCACTTTAAGATGTCGTATAAGCTAGAAATAGATAAATGTATCTACAAACTGGTTGTGCGGGTACCCAAAGGTGAAATCTGTCGAATATTACAGAATGGAAACATTTCACGCAGAACCAATATCGAGCAACCGAGGAGTGCGGCAGGGTGTATGAGTAATTCTGGAATGAAGGGAAATGACAAATTTTATTCGGGCAACGTAGCCAAGGTAGTGTGAGATTCAAACATAAAGCGAAATTTGCAGGTCCGCAATTTCTAACAGTGGTGTATCCCAACCTTTTGTTGGAAGAGCGAGGGGTAAAGCTTTGAATAGTCAGAGCTATATTGATGACTGCCTTTCCAAATTGCTTCAGTTTGTCCACGAACATATATCTAATTTATGATATTAAATTTCTTAATTAAATGAATCCGATAAATAATTTGAGCGAAAACCTTTAGGACATGGGTTATTATAAAGATTCAGCACCGAACTAAGACTTTCTGAATCGCTACTGATGTGTACATAGTGTGAAACTTATACCTGTGTGACTATGATACAAAGCTGACATCTTTGGCTCCGCCCTTTGCCGTCGCTCTGTATGCGCTATCGATTGTGATTTTTATATTTATAATAATCGCGAGGATTTTCTGTCGTTGGTACCTGAAGTGTAACGGCGAGAGCTCTACAGACTACATGAGAGTTGAGAAGCAAAATTACAACCTTTTTTTTCTTGAATGTAACATACATACCACCTCTCCAGCGCTTATACAGAAAAGAGGCCATAACTAGTTTCTGGCAGCTCAGTTGGAGGCATGAGGCTCGAAAGCAAGGTGTTTAGCAAAAGTTGACAAAAAAGTGGTAATGGGAGACAAACCAGAACAGAACAAGTTAAAATTCAGCAAATCTTATAAACCAAAATCATTTCCACTACATTTTCAATAAACACTATAATTAGTTAAATTAAATCATGCGCATTTTTCAGTAAACAAATGAGACAGAGCAAATGAACTTACCTTCACAAGCCTAGACATACTCGTACATACTACCAAGTGTAGGTTCTAAACCGTAACTTTGAAATTTGCTAGTGTTAGAATCAAAATAATGAAATTACGGACGTTAATTTTTGACAGACAAATTTAGTAAATACAACCCCGACCGCCCACGGTCGGCACGCCGGTGGTCGATGGAGGCCAGTCTGTGCGTACCGCTCGAATAGTACGGAGCCTGTCGTGGTCTGTGTTTTGCTAGTTGTCTTATCTTATCACCAAAATTCTATCATCGGAAGTGGAATTGAATCTGCGTCCACGCTGTAAGTCCTATTGCAATGTTTATGTATATTGAATGCAGCAGGATATCTGTTATTGTGGCAGTTATTTTTTCTATGCCATTGTTTTGTTTTTTGCTGTTATTATTTTTGTTACTCGCGTTACTTCGGAAATAAGGGAACCGCCCCGTAAACGGTTCCGTGAGAGCATCGAGGATGATAGAAAACGCAAAAGACCACTCATGTGTTATAATTGTGGAAAAAGAGGTCATATCCAGAAATTTTGCATTGAAGTTAATAAAAATGACGAAACACAGAAAAATTCATCTCCTGCAAATTATTTGAAGTCATCTAAGGTAACCTCTGAGTTAGTGTGTTCCTTCTGTGCTAAAAGTGGACATAAAATTGATGATTGTTTTATAAAAAAGGGGATCGAGAAACGCCGTAATGTGAATCGTTGCAGTAGTGGTAAATCAGGTACTACCGAGGTGATGACGGTCAATGGAATAACGATGAAAGGCATTGTAGATACGGGTGCTGATATTTCATTAATCGCTCGAAAACATGCTGAAAAGTTTCAGGATAAACTAATACCCACTCTCACCACAATTAGCGGTGTATTACCTGGCTGTTATGTTTCTGAAAAATCGTTAATTGCTGACTTTGAGATGTCCGGTGTAAGAACAGAACTCACATTCATTGTTGTGCCTGATAGTTTTCTCGAAAACGACGTATTGGTGGGCTGCAATCTTTATGACGATCCCGACATCGTGACAATCACAAATTATGCTGGTACCAAAATTGTCAAGAACAAAGTTGCTAGAGTTCTTGATATCTTGCCGAATGCTGAAGATCTTGAGGTGGATGTACCAGATATACACAAGTCCAAATTGTTGAAACTTCTTTCCCATTATAGAGACATTGTAGCGGCTAGTGCAAACGCTGTCACCTGTGTAAATAACACCTCAATGCACATAAGACTTCGCGATGACTTCGTTGTTAATAGAAGCCCTTACCGATTATCAATAAATGAAAGGAAAATTGTTCAAGACATTGTTAATGACCTGTTAAATAACCGTATCATTCAGGAAAGTGAATCGCCTTTTGCCAGTCCCATAATACTCGTCAAAAGAGAAGGAGGGTTCTTATAGAATGTGTGTTGATTTTCGTGCGCTCAATCAACATACAATCAAGGATCGATACCCCTTGCCGTTGATAGACGACCAATTGGATCGCTTGGGAAAGAGCAAAGTGTTCACCTCCTTAGATATGTCTTCCGGATTTCATCAAATTCCATTGGATTCTGAATCAGTTCATAAGACTGCATTCGTAACGCCAGACGGGCACTTCGAATATTTACGCATGCCATTTGGCCTAGCCAATGCCCCGGCAGTTTTTCAAAGGGCAATAAATAAAGCATTGGGGAATCTCAGGAATACGGTAGCACTGGTATACCTTGACGATGTTCTGATACCGTCCGAAACTGTTGAAGAAAATTTGGCATCATTGGATCTAGTATTGCAAGCACTCAAAAATGCAGGATTCAGTTTGAACTTGAAAAAGTGTCATTTTCTTCAGAACAAATTAGAATATTTGGGCAGAGAAATATCTGCAGAAGGCATATCTCCTGGGTCACAAAAGGTAGAAGCACTGGTAAGATCCCCGGTACCTACCACATTAAAACAAGTCCGACAGTTGATGGGCTTAGCCGGATACTTTCGGAAATTCATACCCGAGTTTGCTACCCGTACTGCACCTATCACTAAACTTACCAAATCAAACGTGCCTTTTTGTTGGGGTGAAGAACAAGAATCTGCTAGAAGGTATATAATTGAATAATTGACATCGCGACCACTCCTCAGCGTATTCGATCCTGAACTTCCTACCGAATTACACACAGATGCGAGTAGTATTGGTTACGGAGGGATGCTTATCCAAAAGCAAGCCGGAAATTTACGTGTTATTGGATACTTCAGTAGAAAAACCAACAAGTATGAAGAAAAATATCATTCTTATGAATTAGAAACTCTTGCCGCGGTAAGCTCCATGAAGTATTTCCGGGTTTATCTCCTCGGTATCCACTTTACGTTGGTTACTGATTGTAACGCTATCAAATCAACAGCAGCAAAGAAGGACATCCTACCAAGAGTAGCTCGCTGGTGGGTCTACATGCAGGATTTTGATTTTGATATAGTTTATAAAAAAGGGTATTCATTGCCACATGTAGATTTTTTGAGCAGGAATCCCGTAATTCGCTGTCTGAAGAAATATAACAATTGGTTATATATTGAGCAACGTGGAGATAATGAGGTTAAAAGATTGCTAGATGACTGGAAGGAAGGGCGCTTGGACAAAACTCGTTATTCTGTCAAAAATGATATACTACATTACAATATATCTACATCTGAGGGATCCGTTTCCAAGCCTTTTGTACCCCGACAAAGCAGATTGGGCTTGTTAAGGATATTTCATGATGAACAGTGTCACGTTGGCATTGACAAAACCTTAGAATCAATAAAAATACACTTTTGGTTCCCACGTATGCGATACTTTGTTACAAAGTATATAAAGCATTGTCTCATCTGTGCTGTGAAGAAAACTAGGTCTGGTCCATTACAGGGCTTCGTCACAAGAGTCGAAAAACCGTCTGAGCCCATGAACATCATTCATGCCGATTGTTTAGGTCCCTTAGAAACTACAAACGAGGGACATAAGCACATTTTGGTATTAATCGATGCGTTTACAAAGTATTGCATACTGTTGCCGTTGAAGACTGTCAAAGCCTGCGAAACGAAAGAAGCTTTTCAGTTGTTCATATCTCTGTTTGGTACGCCGAAGCAAATCATTATGGATGCAGGTAAAAACTTCAAGAACTTGAGCCTCCCAGAATACTTGGACTCCTTGGGCATCAGTTACCATTATACGTATACTACCCCCGATGTACACAGGTCCAATGGACAAGTAGAGAGATATATGAGAACAATAATGAATCTTCTGCGAATTGAAACAAAAGTTCGGTCAGAATGGTCGAGTGGTTTATGGAAAATTCAGTTGGTTTTGAATACGACTGTGCAGAAGTCAATAGGAACAACACCACTTCGAGCTTTAATTGGCATTGATGGTTCTACTCCACTCATCCAAAGTTTGCTGGCTAACTTAAGTTCTGATCTACAGCCAATCAGAAATTTACAACTCGATCGTAGTAGAATGAAGGATCGTATGGAGTCGTTAGCAGAGGCTAAAATCAAGGAGAATGAAAAACGCCGAAATACCAAAACCTTCAGCATTGGAGATTTTGTCCTTATGCACCGTGATGATAAGATGCACCAAGGTAAATTGAAGTATGAATTCCAGGGACCTTTTGAAATTGTGGGTATCACACCAAAAGGTCGATATGAAATGAAGAGAGTTGGTAAATCTCTTGTGACTAAGGCTGCTAAAGAACAATTGAGGAGTTGGCCTAGCGATTGGTCTATGACTGTGAACATGGAGGAGCTTCTTGAAGATTTAGAGGATGAGTAAGTAGTCTGGATATTGGCCAGTGTTAGAATGTAGTTTGTGACGTCAGAAATATATTTTGCATGTATTTATCTGGTGTTTAAAGCTTGGTACGCTTTGCACGCAATTGTTTCATGTTTTAAAGCTTGCTACGCTTTGCATGTGCTTATCTGGTGTTTAAAGCTTGGTACGCTTTGCACGCAATTGTTTCATGTTTAAGAGCTTGCTACGCTTTGCATGTATTTGTCTGGTGTTTAAAGCTTGGTACGCTTTGCACGCAATTGTTTCATGTTTTAAAGCTTGCTACGCTTTGCATGTGCTTATCTGGTGTTTAAAGTTTGGTACACTTTGCACGCAATTTTTTTCATGTTTTAAAAGCTTGCTACGCTTTGCATGTGTCTATCTGTTGTTTAAAGCTTGGTACGCGTTGCACGCAATTGCTTTATGTTTTAAATCTTGCTACGCTCTGCATGTATTTATCTGGTGCGTTATGCATTCTTACTTAATGTAATTGTTTATAAAGTCAAGTTTGACTTTGTGGTATTGTTTCAGTGAGGAAGAACCAGAGATTGCAGATGGAACTGAAGCAAGGAGTGAATGATTACGTTGTCTGTTATTATTGTTTGCGATGTTTGTTATTTGTTATAATGTTACTAATTTCTGAATTTGTTTAATACAAGAATATTTTGTATTTTGTCTTTACTTCGTTGCTACAAATCAGGCTGTTATACAATTAACGTCGAGAACGACTTTGTACTCAGGTTGGCCGTGTTAGAATCAAAATAATGAAATTACGGACGTTAATTTTTGACAGACAAATTTAGTAAATACAACCCCGACCGCCCACGGTCGGCACGCCGGTGGTCGATGGAGGCCAGTCTGTGCGTACCGCTCGAATAGTACGGAGCCTGTCGTGGTCTGTGTTTTGCTAGTTGTCTTATCTTATCACCAAAATTCTATCACTAGATATGTACGTTCAGATACAGCTAAGACCAGTTAGTTTAGTGTAAGTCATAGACCTTATATTAGGAGATGATGTCCATATACCAGAGTTGTAATGTAGGCAAATCTAAGCCGATCATTAATCTGTACATTAAACTAAGGTTAAGCTGGCCAATCTGAAAAAATATTGAATGCGCTAGTTAGTGTTCAATAGCCTAGGCATCTCCAAGTCTATCTCTGCAGAAAATATGAACCCATGACCTTCTAGGCTACAATAACGCTTGTTTGGATTGATCAAATCAAACAATGAATTTGCAAAATAATATTTTGTCAGTAAAAATAAGATAAAATAATGGTGTTTACTAAAAATCTCATATCACGCTGTGAATTTTAAAAAAAGTAACATATGACAGTTCCATCAGCAGCCACATAATCTCTTTAAATAAAATATGAAAAACACCCTAGACATTTATTTATACCACCATTTGGATAATATTATAAAGAAGGATTAAAATATTTGCAAATCACATAAGATGCATGATTCCTGGAAAAAAAAAGTTTGAAAAAATAAAGAGCCAATTATAATAATACTTGCAAAATAAAAGTAAATAAAGCACAACATTTATGCAACTTATTGAACTCTCCATTTTACCTGATAAGGCACACACATAACAACACATGGCGCTCTCAATCAGCTAAAGAAATTCAGCACGTTTGTCTATGTGATAACTAAAAAGAGAGTTGGAATATGAAACATTACATTATTACGCATCTCACGGGAATTTTTCAATATGCATAAATATGGGCGAAACAATGACTTCAGGAACAGTAGAACCGTTACAAAATGAAGTTCAACACAAAAGTACATATCATACTTAGTTTGAGAAGAGGGCTATTATTTGGAGAACAATTTTATAAGCTGAGGTGCGTAGTACCAAGGGATCCAAGGAATATAAAATGCGAAACTAATAGCGGCCTTCCGAACCGAGGTATGTATAGAATTTGTTCCACTACTAACGTACGTATCACAAAGTATTCGATTTTACATCCCAATCATCACGTTTCAAGCTCATCTTACAAAAATACTTTAAGATACCTAGTTTGCTGCTGTCACTGAGCAACTCAAATTAATGAATACACCAGACGATTATTGGGGTATTCAAGAAGAACTATATCAGAACCTATATCTAAGATTACTTATTTCTCAAACGTTCTAAAATATACCGAAATATAAAGTTCAATCATCAACCTGATACAATAAAATTGACAGGACAAGTTTAACTAGATGAATGAAGACTAGAGATAGGTGGTTAAAGTACTGGAGTGGGCATGAAGCCAAATAATGTCGACGTTGAACTGAGTTGGTATAGTAGTAACAGTAATGGTATTTTATTCAACCACAATACAAACACTTCAAATGGCAAGTCAAAAAGAATGAACATAAAAGAAAAAGACAAAAAGGTGTCATCCGAAGTTACATTAATAAAATATGCAATATTGAATTTAAATTTGTATGTTATAACACATTAAAATAACTGAAAAAAATGAAAATTATGTAAAAAACAATATTCAAAGGGTCATTTTAACGGTATTAACATCCAGAATTTAAAAATTCGCTAATAGAATAGAAACATTCATTAGTTAACTAATTGAAAACCATTCTCCTAAAATTGCGGTAGATATCAATATCCTTCAAATCTCTAGGTAGAGCATTATACATTGCTATAAAATTATACTGCGGTGATATAGTGTAAGTTAGAGTCCTGAAATGATTTGAATTAAGTTGGTGATTCTTGTATTATAATCATGATGCTGTTCATTTTGCATCTCGAAGTTTTAATGTTACGTTTAACATGATTTACGCATTTATATACAGGGTGTCCAATAAGTACCACGACAATCTTAAAGGAGAAGGTAGGCTTTGGATCGACCTCCCAAATAACAAAAGCTTACCTATGTAAAAGTGTCACCGTTTGCGAGATATTGAGTTTTTTCTTAAATTTTAAATAAACGATCCTTTTCATCTGTGGTCTTTAGCTGCGTGTACAAGTAAGGTTATACTTTGTTCATTTTTTCTATAAAATACCTCTAGATAGTTGGTTTATCATATACAAATGCAATGTAGTTAAAAGATACTAAGGAACCATGATCAAACAAGGACTATTTTGAGATTTATAACCTTCTGATATTTTTTCCTCAACTTTGACCATCTGTGGTGAAACAAAAATGTACTGGGCTATAACTACATCATATTGAATAAAAAGATTGCTCAAAGAATACAGATTTCAGAAAGGTACCACACGTACTATTTGGAATAGAAAAAAGTGATAGCTGCTTTTGTAAGTGACTGACACTTACTACAATGTAATTATTGGATTTAAATTCAAGCTGCACTGGTTACCGATCAGTGACATGCTAAATAGTACAAAGCTGCATTATTATTACCTGGTCCTGATATAATTTTATGAAAGCTGAGGAAACAATATCAGAAGGTTATAAATCCCAAAACAGTCCTTATTTTATCATGGTTCCTTAATATCTTTTAAGTACATTGCATTTGTATATGATAAAGCAACTATCTAGAAGTATTTTATAGGAAAAATGAACAAGTATACAGGTATACAAGTATAACCTTATTTGTACAAGCAGCTAAAGACGACAGATTAAAAGGTTCGTTTTTTTTAAATTCAAGAAAAAATGCAATATCTCAAGAACGGTGACATTACCTATAGGTAAGTTTCTGTTATTTGGAAGGTCAGTTCCAAGCCTACCTTCTCCTTAAGTTTGTCGTGGTACTTATTGGACACCCTGAAAATTCAAGGTAGAGTGAGCGGTTTGTTTTCAATAAAGGCATGCCTGCAAGTTTACCTGAAATATTGTTTCATGTGAAATAATGCAAAGCTCTTGTTTAAATTGCAGCAGATATTATTTATCTGAGATTCAAAAGCCATGTCTGCATCAAACCAGCTACCAAGGAGGTTAACATTGTCTAAAAACTGCGCAAATACTGCACAGCAAATGAATTTCAGGTTCTGCGCATGTGGCATCTCTTTCTGTTGCTGTCATCATGGCTATAAAAAACTCCAATTTTAATAGTTCGGATGAGCTCAAAGCAGAAATATTGAGTAACATTACAAACCATGAAGTATAAACCTACACAACTTGGCAAAAGCAGACGCTCCAAGTCATGTTTTACGCCCGCTAGATTTCCAAGAGCCAGAGAGATACATCTCTAGTCTTGGTGCCTAGATGCTTTATTTGCTATCATTATTAACCTAGGGAGATAATGTTGCTTTTCAACAATTCATTGTTGTCAGTAATGGTGATTATTCGGGCTAGGAGTAAAACACAATATTATAAGATTTGATGAACTATCCGAGAATAATGTTTGAGGAAGCTTCCAAACCCAGTAGAAATTCATGTTTTTTCGGTAAACTATGAATGATTACACCACTATTATAGAGGCTTTTAAGAAAAATATCACGTATTCAATCCTTCCTCGAGGAATTCTTCAGTATTTCCCATTTAACCTGGGCGGGCATTCATCCTTGCTCCCCCACCCACAGCAATTTTCTTAATAGTACGTTTCCCGTGCTTTCCATATTTACACCGTGTCGACGACGGAGCCTCGCGAAAAAAATGTTTCATGTAATCAGCAATCTTGTGTGAAAACGAAGGAGAGGCAAAAACATCATGTTTAAGATGCTTCCATTTCCTTCTATACCTACCTATCCTATCTACAGTGTGGAAGTAAAAGATGGAATACATTGAACAATTATGTAACAACGCAATTGCATCAAGAAGGATTATTTCGACAGATCTGATGTTTCAGCATGTAAAGTATAAAATCAGCCTACTTGAAGCTACTCGTATGTCGCAAAATGTATGCAGTTGCTCATATAGTCGCGTAGGTGAAGTGGTGAACGTGGGAAATTCATTGGATAGCTATTTTTCTTGCAGGATCTGCGGCAAAGGCAGGACCTAAATATAGGGACTTCGTAACCCCTATAAGGAAGAAAGTTTTCTTGATCACCCGATCACAACTGAGCTATAATGGAAAGCAGAGGTCTGACGGACCATAAATTCGGGCTAGACAAAAGGAGCAAGTACACGATTTGATTGCCGCTAAAATTATGTAGTCAGTAGTCAGGATGCAAGTTCATATACAAGTCGATCAGGCATAAACTGCCAGTTTGACATTAAGTTCGTACTTTTCTGTGAAAACATATAAAAGCGCGTGTGCTCCATACAATTCTAGTGTTCCGGATAGTTGCCGAAAATTCAAAATACTGGATATTGTGGCGTCGATGGCATACCTTTGTTTTTTCTATGTCATACCTATCCGATTGTTTCCAAAGCTTTGGAGTGATATATCTGAAAGTAAACAAATTGTTTCAAGAGTTCCCAAGAGCCCAGTTCTGGAGCCTCTACTTTTCATAATTTACACTGCCGATTTTCAGACTGCTTTGCCACATTTCTCTACCCAGGTGATCGACCACTCCAATCAGGAAAATTTATCAACTACAAGAAAATTAGTAAATGAACATATAGACAGTGCTGTTAGATATGCTACTAGCCACAGCCTGTCATTGAGTCCCAGTAATTGTCATTCAATGGTATTTTGTCAAAAAAAAACTTATAGTCACATAAAGTTAAATCTTAACATAATTAGATTAAACGAAAATTTAGAATTTTACAGATAAATTGGACATTTTGTGTGTAACGGTTGATGAATATTAAAAATTCCATAATAT